TCGTGTAGTTTCAAGTGAGCATCTTAGCTTAACACGTTGCATCGTGTTGTTTTAAGTCAACAAATTGTATGGTAAGCCTTTCGTTTCAATATAGTGGTGTAGCATCGTGTTATCTTAACTTAACATCATGTACTTTCAACTGTGCATCATGGTGTTTTAAATCAACAGATTGCATGATAGACCTATCGTAATATCACAATGATATAACATCGTACTATCTCAGCTCAACATTTATTAATAACAAGTCAGCACCATACAGTTTAGCTATTCATTTTATTTGTTATCATAGCTATCGAAGTGGATGACTGAGCAGTATCCATCTGCAAGCTAACATCATGCAACGTCAACTTCACATTATGTACTTTAAACCCAACGTTACGTGTGTTTGGCATATCATCACAACATCGTGACTTATCATTATACTATCACGACTAAAGCACTTGTCCTTGCAAGTCAACATTGCGCAAATTCAACTTAGCAAATTGTAATTTAGAGTTAGCATTTTGATGACTCAATTCAACACCACGCTGTCTTAACTTTACATTTTAAGCTTCAGCATAACGTTTTGTAAATCTCTAATATATGACAGCTGAGGCTTTCCATATTTACAGGTAAAATATAACTTCAGGTAATGTCAGTTACACCAGATGCCTGAGATGTTATGTTGGGCAGAAATTTTTCATTCATGAAAAATTTCATACACGGGATTTTTTCAACGGGAGGTCGGGAGGAGACCCCTGAAAACGGGATTATCGTACTCCCGTCGGGAGGTTCACATGTATGCCTATTCAAACCATATCATTATTATTTGCTTTTATATATAAATCAGAAATAACCAATTTTAAATGGAAAATGTTAAAGAAAAAAAAAGAAAAAAAAAATCCCCCCCCCCAATTTTTTGAACCCCCTTATGATTCATCGCCCCCAAACTCAATCCCAGCTTTCCCTTTGTGGTATGCTACCTTGCAGTACAATTTCAGAGAGATTCATACACTTGAACACAAGTTATTGTCTGGAAACTAGAAAAATGCTTGTTTTTTGGCCCCTTTTTGGCCCCTAATTCCTAAACGTTTAGGGCAATTACCCCCAAACTCAATTCCAGCTTTCCCTTTGTGATACTGAACCTTGCAGTACAATTTCATAAAGATCCATACACTTACACACAAGTTATTGTCCTGAAACTAGAAAAATGCATGTTTTTTTTGCCCTTTTATGGCCCCTAATTACTAAAATTTTGAGGGAAAACCCCTCAAAATCAATCCCAGCCTTCCCTTTGTGATATGGAACCTTGTAGTACAATTTCATAAAGATCCATACACTTACAAACAAGTTATTGTCATGAAACTAGAAAAATGCTTGTTTTTTGCCCCTTTTTGGCCCCTAATTCCTAATATTTGGAGGAAATTACCCCAAAAATCAATCCCAGTATTCCCTTTGTGATATGGAACCTTGTAGTACAATTTCATAAAGATCCATACACTTACAAACAAGTTATTGTCATGAAACTAGAAAAATGCTTGTTTTTTGCCCCTTTTTGGCCCCTAATTCCTAAAATTTGGAGACAATTACCCCCAAAATCAATCCCAGCATTCCCTTTGTGATATGGAACCTTGTGGTACAATGTCAGAGAGTTCCATACACTTACACGCAAGTTATGTCTGGAAGTTACAAAAATGCTTATTTTTGGCCCCTTTTGGCCCCTAATTCCTTAACTGTTAGTACCATAACCCCCAAAATCAATCCCCACCTTCCTTTTGTGGTATTGAACCTTATGGTAAAATTTCAATGAGATCCATTCACTTAAACTAAAGTTAGAGTGCGAAAACTAATGTGTATTCGGACGACGACGCCGGACGACGACGACGACGACGACGACGACGACGACGACGCCAACGTCATACCAATATACGACCACAAAAATTTTTTTGCGGTCGTATAAAAATTAAGAATCTAAATACACGGTTAGATTCGGCATATCAAAGAACCCCAATAATTCAATTTTTGATGAAATCAAACAAAGTTAAATTTTGGACCCTTTGGACCTCAATGTGGACCAATTTAAAAACGGGGCCCAAAATCCAAAAACTTAATACACGGTTAGATTCAGCATATTAAAGAACCCCAAGAATTCAAGAATAAAACCCCATTGAAATTGATCAAGAAATAAGCAATTTATACGAAGTATCTTCTTTTGCACAATACTGTGCAATTGAATATTTCTTGCTATTGTGCAATACTGTACAATTGACAATTTCTTGCTATTGCGCAATATTGTGCTATTGGATATTTCTTGCCATTGCGCAATACTGTGCAATTGAAGATTTCTTGCTATTGCGCAATACTGTGCAATTGAAGATTTCTTGCAATTGTGCAATACTGTGCAATTGAAAATTTCTTGCTATTGCACAATACTTATTATATAATAATTTACACATCCTGTTTGGTGTGTATCTCCTACCATATCATTATTATTTGCTTTTAAATATTAATCAGAAATAACCAACTTAAAATGGAAAATTTTAAAAGAAAAAAAAAAGGAAAAAAAAAAAAAAAAGAAAGAAAAAAAAATCCCCCCCCCAAATTTTTTGAACCCCCTTATGATTCATCACCCCCAAACTCAATCCCAGCCTTCCCTTTGTGGTATGGTACCTTGCAGTACAATTTCAGAGAGATCCATTCACTTGAACACAAGTTATTGTCTGGAAACTAGAAAAATGCTTATTTTTGGCCCCTTTTTGGCCCCCAATTCCTAAACGTTTCAGGCAATCACCCCCAAACTCAATTCCAGCTTTCCCTTTGTGATATGGAACCTTGTAGTACAATTTCAGAAATATCCAAACACTTACACACAAGTTATTGTCATGAAACTAGAAAAAATGCTTGATTTTTGCCCCTTTTTTTGCCCCTAATTCCTAAAATTTTGAGGCAATTACCCCCAAAATCAATTACAGCCTTCCCTTTGTGATATGGAGCCTTGTGGTACAATGTCAGAGAGATCCATACACTTACACACACGTTATTGTCTGGAAGTTACAAAAATGCTTATTTTTGGCCCCTTTTTGGCCCCTAATTCCTTAACTGTTGGTACCATAACCCCCAAAATCAATCCCAACCTTCCTTTCGTGGTATTGAACCTTATGGTAAAATTTCAAGGAGATCCATTCACTTAAACTAAAGTTAGAGTGCGAAAACCAATGTGTCTTCGGACGACGCCAGACGACGACGACGACGACGACGACGACGACGCCAACGTCATACCAATATACGACCAAAAAATTGAAATTTTTTGCGGTCGTATAAAAACTGGTTTGAGTTTACAATGTGCATTTTAAGTGTGGGATGTATTATACTTATTTCTGTGATATTCTACCTTCTGTTAAATTTCTTCAGCCTTCTTTCTTCAAATTCTTTTTTCCTTTATCTCTCGGTCTAAATATACTCCACTCGTTGCTAGAACGCCAGTTTATTCATAAACTAGGATTTCTTTTTTTCTAAAAATTGGTTCTTATTGGCGCTTTAATGTATTCACCTGGTTATATATTATATTTTTCAGTTTATTCACTAAATTGAATTCAAGTTATGAATTTGAAATATTTTTATTCTGTTCACGAATTACTACAATTGTGTCACTTTGCCCAACCTGAATATATGTTTCTGAGACATATTTAAAGTCTTAGCTATATTGGCTTTATAAATTGGTATAATCGTTAAATTTTGTATCTGTTAAAGATTCCATTTTCTATACAACAATGATTTTACTATGAACTCATTTTTATCGCCAGCAAACACTTTTATGAATAGAAATTAATTATCTAAATTATCTACATTGACACAATATATACACCTTTTTGTGTTACTGAAGTTTTGGTACACATTTCAGGGTAATAAATACAACTCGTGATTTGCATAAACTATTTATAAATATTAAGTAAGTAAAGAATTTTACAGTGCTTCTTAAACTAAGATTTTAAACATTAAAGCAGTAAATCATATATATAATTTACTGCAAAAATGGTTAGCTTTAGTCTCAACCTCATTAAATAAAAAATTACAGAGAACATACTGCTGTAAATAAGTGTGACATAGAAATAAACATGTCTTCATTTAAAATATAGAGAATATCCAATATGTATTACTTTTATTCATCAAACTATTATGTCCGTCTTTATCACCACAATAATAAAGTTTAAGCTGTGAATAGATTTGTTAAACAAGTTTTAATATTCTCCTCTTATTCTGTCTTGTAATTTGTACAGAACATACAATGTTTAGTGAACAATATTTGCCTTTTTGTGGAATGTTTGCTCTTTGTTAAGTCATTTGATAAAGATGGGTCTTCTCCTTTCTTTTTTATTTCTCACTAACTTAACTTATGCATATATATATATATATATACGGAATCTTTCTCATTTTTACAAGTCAAACGTACCATACATGGAATCTTTGTCATTCTTCTTAGCTTGACGTACAATATATGGAATCCTTGTCACTCTTACTAGCTATACTTATCACTCACAAACGGAATCTTTTGTCATTCTTTCTAGCCAAACGAAACATATACGCAATCTTTGTCATTCTTACTAGCCAAACGTACCATAGACGGAATCTCTGTCATTCTTACTAGCTTAATGTACCTTATACATAATCTCTGTCATTCTTACTGGTCAAACGTACCATATACGGAATCTTTGTCATTCTTACTAGCCAAACGTACCATATACGGAATCTTTGTCATTCTTACCAGCCATTATACGTTAAGTAACCAACAATCAATCAACCATTCATACAAGCCAAACGTACCATATACAGAATCTCTATCATTCTTACTAGCCAAAAGTACCATATACGGAATCTTTGTCAATCTTACTAGCTTAACGTACCATATACGGAATCTGTGTCATTCTTACTAGCCAAACGTACCATATACGGAATCTTTGTCATTCTTACTAGATAAACGTACCATTTACGGAATCTTTGTCATTCTTACTAGCTAAACGTACCATATACGGAATCTTTGTCATTCTGAGGAATGTTTCTAATTTCAGCGGGAATGGTGAGATACTTGGCGCAAAGTTGCCCCTTCCTATCTGATACAGTACAACAACTCCTGGAGGAACATTACTTTTCGGTCTACGTCTGTAATGAAGATAAAGAAGTGAAAAAAACATATTTGAAGAGCATTCATTTGGTTAAACTAACATTTTAACTACGACAAACATTCAGAACCATAATGCTTGTTATGAAACAGAATTGGTTATGTCAGTTTAACTAGGTGGGATGGAAAAATTGCAAGTGATCTTTAAACTATTAATTTGTTATTAGAGAATTTCTTAGATCTCACGTTCATAATGTTCTACAGTTTTTTTTATATGTTACAGTGGGTTTGTAAAATCAGGAGATTCACTGAATCAATTGTGGAATTTATAAAATCCCTGATTTGACCATGGATAAGACTAAATTACTAAATTAATTGAGAGCATTTTTTTACAGATTCACTAGTTTCATTTACGGAATTAAAAAAAAAACAAATAATGTATTCTTTTTAATAACTCTGTGGATGCTAGTTATCTTTACTTGTTATCCAGGGATTTTATTAACACTAACTCCTTTGGAATGAGACAAGCCTTTATAAAGTGGATTCAAAATTCTAAATTTCATCAAGTTGCTGTCCTTAAGTCTTGAACTGTATAGATAACGTTGTTTCTATCCACAAAATATTAAAATAACTAGAGGGACGTGTCGACTTTATAGTTTTTTCCAACAGTTTATAGTCTATGCTGATCAACCATTTATTAAACCATAATGCAGTTGCTATGGAAATCTGTCTTGGTCATCTTTAACTTTTTTTTAAATTCTGTAAGTGACAATACTTACATTACCTTTATTAATCGGGGAATGAAATTTAAGTCCATCACACAGTAACAATATCTATCTCGAAGTAATTTCATATATGAATGAGTATGGTTTATAATTAAATATTATTTGTTCCTTCCTGAAAAAGGCTTGCATTATTTCGTTGTTTGTTTTGAAAAGTAGTATATAAAATGTGTCATGCATTCTATTTAGATATTCCATCCAAATAGTAAAGGACGGATAAAATTGCAACGAACCCAAGAGTTATCCTATGGGAACTATGTCATGATAAAAACGTTACGTCAGGATTTCTGGCTCTTTTAGGTGTAACGAATTTTACTGTATAAATATTATATTAATTTTCGGATTACGGGTTCCAATAATCCATATTAGACTTGTCTCGTACGGTATTCACCTTTCAATAAAGGGAACCAGCTATAAACGACTACAGCACATTTCTCCATATTAATCCTTTAAAGTAGTTATTAAATGTATCAAGTTTAAATAATGTTCGCATCTTTAATATTCATATAACATGTATAATATACAATAAGGGATAAAAAATATAATCTCTTAATAAAAGTTCGTGTGTCAATTTGATATTCTTAGTAAAAAACTGACCAGTTTCAACTTTCTCACAAAATCATTTATTTGACATCTGCTGTTTATCTTATACTAAACATTGCTTTATGGTTACTTAATATTTTGTTAAACTTATCTGTGTTATTGCAACTCAACAGTGCATCCCACGTACCGTGTAAAATGTCAACATTAATCAAGATGAAAGATTATCAAATTAATTGTAGTATTGACCGTCAACTCTTTGATGCAATTGACCACGCAACATCTCGAGGGCGTTAGCTCGATTGGGTGTATCTAATTTACACCCAGATATTATAATTTGTCAAAAAAAAATGCGGAATGCTAGCTTTCCATAATTTAGAAGGGGGTCTTTCAGCGATTTGAGCATATGTTATTGAAAAACATGAGTAATGCAGAGTATCCAATTTCAGGTGTGCATTCTCTTATGACTGTGACCTGTTATCTACTTTCCTCATGGAGAGATATTTCTCGAATCACAGTGTGCGGAGTGTGATATGAATATGAAATACAAGATAATCATGTTGAGTCCGATAATTAAAATGATCTCGCTCTGAGTTGGAGATCACAAACTCAGTCCAAAATCCTTTTAATTTTGAAAACTTTTCAAGACCATCGTCTTTAAATATGGTATGTTAACGTAAAGGGTACAGTATTTACCAATGTTCATATCTCATAAATCCATTTGGGAGAGACAAATCAAGGTAACAAACAGAAACTGAGGAAATCGTGTTCAATTTAAAAGGAGTGAGACCGGGTACGTCGACAGGGTAAGCGTCTCTTGCTATGTAACATTTCTACAGTATTGCTGGTATGCAAATGCTAGGATGCTTAACATAGACAATAGTATGTTGATTGACACAAGATCAGATGTGAAAAGTGAAATTTTGAACGAGTTGGAAATAAGCAAATCGGTTTTTAATGGGGTGTCGACATATCTTACTACTGCAGATGGTGAGTAACTGGATGTCATGGGTATGACAATGATTAAACTTTGTTTAGTCTAAATAGTGGAAATAGTTTAACATTCTGTAATTGTATTTGGTCTGAGGGAACTCTTTGGTATTTTGAGAATGGACTTCCTTTGTAAAACAGAGTGTATATTGACACTGCCGATTGGATGTTGATGTTGCAAATATTGAGATAAAATTAAAACTCAAAGCGTCGTCGAATAATATCTGAGCTAAGGTCCATCGTAGAGATACTGTGCTGACTTATGCATGTCTGACATTTTTGTAGAAGGTAAAAAAAGGGTGGAATTTTATAGAAAACAAGAAGGTTGGTTAGAACATTTGGCTGAATTCAAATTTGATTGTCATATTTTAATGTCAAAATGAAAAGTAGTATTCTCAATTTTGAATCCAACCTCGGATCAGAGAATTCTGAAAAAGACATACAAGTAGAGTCTGTTCAACCAGTTGAGCAAATGTTAAGCTGCAATTAGGAATCAATAAGTCAAGTAAATCAGAGCATTAATTTGCCTGAAAATGCATTACCATAGCATTAAGTATGACCTTTAGTCGAGCAATGTTTGAGAAATTAGCGACCCAGCAACGAAAACGCTTAAGAAACGTTGTTTATCAATACGCTGATACTTTTGTTGGATCGGATGGAAAGTTGGGACACACCGATATATTCATACACGAAGTTGACACCGGATTTAATAAAACGCTAAAATTGTCTTTACGGTGATTACCGATTGGCAAGTAAATGTTGCCGAAACGGAGATACATAAAATGTTAAAACAGGCCATTATTTAACAAAGTTACTCGCCGTGTGCCGCTTGTATTGTCATCCTGAAGAAAACCGGTGGCTCGGCTCGCTTCTGCGTGGATTACAGGGAAATTAATTCCGTGACGAAAAAGGACGTCTTCCCTTTGTCCCGTATCGATGAGTACTCGTACTTCATCATGAAACTCTTCATTAGTTTGACTTTTAAAAATTAAAAAAAACTTTAAGGACATACGACACAATTGGTGGCAGATTAGTTTTTACCGAGTTCATTTGCAGATTTGAGGCGCCGACAAGAATCCATACGGACCAAGGAAGGAAGTTGAGTCCGGACTGTTTGCCGAAATTTGTCCTGGAAGTAGACAAGTCGTGTACAATTCCTACAGACCGCAATCTGACGGTATGGTCGAAAGTACAAACACACTCTCCAAAATATGTTAGCAATGTACGTGGATGAAAATCGCAAAGACTGGGACCCCCACTTGCCTTTTATCATGGTGGCACCGAGTTTTGATATCCTATTAAAGATGTAGAATGGGTTAAGGATGTAGTGCAACAGTCTTTTCATTTGCTCAAATTAGGAATTAGGAAGCTTTTATGTGACAAAAACGTGTTAATGACATTAAACTTCAAATTCGTTCCTTCGAAAAGGACTAATTAGTATGGTACTGGTATCCCCCACATGCCAAACGAAAATGAGGTGTCGGTTGGACTGCAATGAAAACAAAAATACACGAAAACTACTGAAAACAAGGTAGATGGAAATAGAATAGAAAATGAACTGTCTAATATCAATTCAATCCTCGCGACCCTTATAGATCATGAATATCTTGAACATGTAAACTCGAACGCAGAAGATAACATTTCCGATAATTACACTGAAAACAAAACAGTTATACATTACTATATACAGACCAACTTATATAAATAACCGTACACGAGGTCGCTCAATACGACCAAAACTACAATCTTTGCCATAAATACCAACCTTGTACTATTCATTATAAAACCGTTGATTACTACAGATATATGGTAATTAAATGTTATTCCTACATTATGTAGACATGCCATGAAATCTGTGTCCAGGAAAATTATGGATTTCAATTGTACGTTTGTACATTTCATATACAATGGGCCTTTTCTGAATTCGCTTTTCGGTAATGTACAGATGTATATGTGATAATTAAACAGACATTGGAATAGTAGCGGAATATATTCAGGTTAAACGTCAACTTTGACTTTAATTCTATGAAACCTTGTGCATGCTTCTTAAAGAATAGAATGACAGTTTTCAAGACTGTTTACATAATTTAAAGGGAAAAAAGAACAAAAAACGATATTAAATACATACATATTTTAGATATATCATTATAACAAGTACTATTATTCACAGCATAGACAACCCTAATGTTTTTGAATATGAGGAAGAAGAAATGCAAACTGACATGACTGAGCTGAAAAAAAACAATTTTTCTATAAGGCATGCTGACTTATGTAGTGTCCGTTGAAAAATTGCGACGCTAAAATGTTTCAAATTCGTTCTAAATTTGAAAGAAATTGGGTGGGAAACCACACAAGCATGTGTATCAAGCATTCTATCTGCATGCCGTAGAAAGCAAGTCATTAAAATACATTTAATTCGCTAGCACTACATGCCAGACAAGAAACTTCTGCAGTCTAGTCAAACTTTATGCTTGGACTACCAACCGTGCTACAATGTTTTACGAGGGGATTGGTATTCATACATAATTGTTGAAGGAGTTCACACTTTCCAAATATTGCATGCCTTATTGCATTTTAAATGTTGCAGAAAAGTGATGGCGTATACATTTTATCACTTTTACACCACTGTCCAATGTTAGGGGAGGATAGGTCGCCTGCAAACATTTTACCTCTGTGATCAGTTTCACAAAAAATCTTACGATTAAAGATGATCGCAAGTATACTGAATT